TAAGAATTTTCATCTAAATTTTTAATTTATTAATTAATAATCTCATAGTAATGTCATAATATTATACAAGGGTTAATCATGAGTGAGTCACAGGTATTTACTATCAAAAATCATATATATATATTGTCACGGGTGCGTTATGGGTAGAATTAAAAGATTACAAATAAGTAAGATTAATTTTAAGCTCAGTAGTTAATTTATTACATCATTAATAAGTAATATTAAATTAATTATTAATTAATTAGTTAAAATTATACATTACGTAAGTATAAAAAATAATATTTAATAAATGCATTTTCTTTAAAATTTGATTTTCATATTTTTTCAAATTTTTTGAAAAAAATTAAAATTCTTTTAAATTCAAAAAAATCTTCGAATTTTTTTTAATTCTTCTTCAATAATGTCTACTTGGAACGACGATGAAGTAAGAATGTTAATTGATAAAAAAAGGAAAATAATGCTCAATACCATGCACTTGATGGTAGCACTTGTAAAAGAGCATGTTGGACTTTGCTTGCTGAAAGAATAAATCAAAGATTTAGAACAAATTTTTCAGGAATGTAGACAAGCAAAAAATTTCACAGAATCGTGAAAAATTGCAAGGTAAATATATAAATCTATATAATATACTGCCATTATCTTTTCGAATATCAGTTAATTTGATATAATTTTTGATAGAAAATGGAACAATTTCTTGCTAATGATTCTAAGGAGAAACAAACTAGAAATGGTACTATGTACTGTGAGGTGTTTAAAACCCATTTTTGGGTCAAACTAGGTAAATAGTATATTTTTTTCTTATTTTGAATCTTATTAATAAATTTAATTTAATTATATCAATATTTTCAGTTATTCATAGACCCAAATGACAACAACATTAATAACTTCAACAGCAGCAGCAGCAGCTACAACAAATACAACAGCAGCAGCAGTAGCTACAATAACAATTACAACAACAGCAGCAGCAGCAGTTTCTACAAATACAAGAGCAGTAGCAGCAGCTACAACAACAACTCCAACAGCAGCAACAACTGCTATAACAATGTCAACAACAACAGTTGATACAAATAGCCGAATCACTTTTGTCTTTGGGTGATTCTAATAATGAAAGAGAAGAAGAAAAGGAAGTAAACGCAAGCCAATCAAGTTGGGAAACTAATCATGATGATGAGTGAAGGTGGGTTTATTGAGTTGAAAATATTTACTATATTTAAACATATATATAATTTTAATTCTTTTATACTTTTCTTTATAGTTATTTAATACTTTAGATTTATTAGAGGGTTTTTTTAAATAATAATTACTATGTTGAAAGAAGTTTTTTTAATTATATAATATTACTTTTTGCAATTTGTACAAATTTAAAATAGAAATCAATTGCTTTTATTATTTTTTTTCTTATTAAATAAATTAATTCAAAAACATTTTTATCTTCTAAGTGTATAAATTATGAAATTATTTGTTTTATACAATTAATATTAATTTTATGTAAATTAATTTATTCATGATTGATAAAATATCCGGGTATTGATCAATTTACTTGATTTGAAAATTGATTGATATCCAGGTCTTAAAGCCATTGTTTTGCATCTAATAAGATACCCGGGTATATTATCATGGGATACTATAAAGGGAGGTCTCTTAGGCAGTGCTTTACGTTATTAAACTATATTTTTTTATATAATAATGATATTATTAAAAATAATATTTAATATTTTATAAAGAAATTAACACTTTTTTTTAACTTCGCAAGCAAATTTGCCTGCTTTACAATCTAAAAGATAACCTGTATAAAAATTATTATTGTTTATTAACTTTGCGTAAAATTGTATTAATACATTATATTAATTTAAAGTGTAATCACTGAAATGTAATTTCTAAAATATCTCATATTTAATTGAGAATAATCTTTGACGTTTATTACAAATTTTTGCTGTGATTTTCTGAGCTATATTTTTATTTAAGATTTATAAAAATAAAATAAATTTTATTATAAAATTCAAATACTTTTATTAAAACAAAACTATATGTGAAATAAATAGATTATTTAAATAGTATTCAGATTTTCAAAAAAATTTTTTATCAGATAACTGAATATGAATATTCTTAATAATAATGGATTTTTTATCTGAATACTAAATGAATATAAATACTAAATTACACTATAATAGAATTTAATTCAGCTCTTAACTAAGGTAGTATCACTGGAAATAATTCTCTTTGCACATATTCTTCTAAGTTACTTTTTATAGTAAAGTAAGTTATTATCATTATACTTTATAAACTTTATAATTTTAGAAAATCTCACAGGTATCTAAAATGCCTTAGAATTACTTCACTTAACTTTATGAATTAAAAAGTTTAGAGACCTAGAAGAAACTTAAAGAATTAATTTATTCTAAGTGTCAAAAGCAAGATAGTGTAGTAATTTATGATCAAATTCTAGATAATGAATATAAAGAAGAGAAAAATATTTATATTTTAAAGTTGATTTCTTTATTACTTAAAATTCTCAGAAATTATAAAGCTTACAAAAGAATTATAAACTAGCAATTGAATTAATTTATAACTTGAGCAAAAAGCTATTCTATTTATACAAAATTTATTTGTTATAGCTAGTTATATTATAAACTAACTAAATTTATAATTATATCTGCTAATTATAATATATAACAAATATATCAAATATAGTAAATATAATTAAGATAATAATTATATTGAATATAATAAGAATCATAGAAATAAGTAAATCATAAACATCAGGCTAATTAAGCTGATTTGTAAGATCAATAGGATCAGGAGTCTTGTTGTTGATCATTCGATATAGTATTTGATAGGCTTATTACTAAAGATGATGTAACAATTAATTTCAAATTATTACATAAGCTAAAATTAGTTACAACAAATATTGTAATATTATAAGTTATAATATATATAGATTAAAACTAATTGCAACACATTTTGCAATATTAAAAGTTGCAATATATTAATTATAGTTTCCATCTTTACTTATTACATTATTATTTCATAGGATACTAATAATTAGTATAGTAAGTTAATTTTTAACTTTGACAGCAAATAGATTAATAAATATTCTAATTGGTCCTAATTAATTTTAAAAAATTATTAGTTTTAAAAATTAAATATAGACATTATAATCAATTTTTTAATTTAAAATTACTTATTAAAATAAATATAAATTTATTTTAAAATTTAAAGTATTTGATTTAGAATCAAGTTTTAAACTAATATATTTTTAATTTTTAAAGAATTATTTTATTTTAAATTAATAAAAAATTTATATAATAATTATTAAAAAAATAAATATATTATTAAAAATTTTAATTAATAGTATATGAATTAAAATTATCATTAAATTCTTTAAGACTAATTAGGACTTATTAGAATTTTTACTAACCTTAAAGGCAGATTATAACAATCTTTTATAAAATTGTTTAACTTGATTTTAGAAATAAATTTCATAATATATATGTATATCATATATATTAAAAATTATGAATTTGTAAAATATAATAATCAAGATAATATAATATATATATGATAATATATTAACTACCACTAGATCTGGTATATAATAGTTATTTTATAAGAATTTATGGATATTAATAAAATTCATAATGCAGCAATAAAAATTGTTATTCATAAAAATTTTTATGAAAATTGTTTTATATCATAATTTTGTATATCATCATATACAACTAACTTTTTTTATTTATAAATAAACTTTTGATCATCTTATTTTAGTATTATTCTTTTTATATACTTTACTTTATCTTTTTTTATTTATATATTTTTTTTTTATTTGACTATAAGTAAATATAATAAAAATATTTTGTAATAATTTTACTTTTTTCAAGTTTTTAAATAGCAGCTAGTTTAATTTCTAACGATTCTATTATAAGCAATATTTAAAATATTATTTAAAAAAAAGCTTTCTATTATCATGAAAAAGTAAAAGTAAAAATATTGAAAAGCTACTAAAAGCTAAATTATATAATTTGAAGAATTCTGTAATTATTTTATTTCTTTAACTGAACTTAATAACATATTATAACTTTAAAAAAAATTGTAGAATTTATCTTTATAATGAAAAAAATGATGATAATAAATATAAATGAAAATTATTAAGCAAACTATTGATATATTTAATAGACACTGAAGGCGTGATTTATACTACGCCAATTAACTATAGCCAATCATGTGATTTGGATTGGTTAGCCGATCTGACCGATATGACAAATTGGATAAATTTAACAATTATGACATATTGGTCATATTTGATTGATCTACCAGATTTATTACATTTGTTATATATATTATATTTGTTAGTTTAGATAGATTAGTTATATTTATTACATTTATTATATTTATTATATTTATCATATTTTATTTACTATTATTTTATTTTGTATAAATATCCTATATCTTTGACTTGCTAAAATGGTAGAGTCACTACAATTCTCTAATAAATCAATACTTATTCCTAAAACTTATCTCTGCTTATTGAATAATTTATTCTTTTTTAAATTTATATCAATAAAGATGACCTGACCCTTCAATTTAATTATTCGTGTTTATTTCTTCATAGTTTAGACATACTTAAACTCCCTGTTAGCAAATAATCTTAGTTAACTTAACGATAAACAGTTTAAGGTTAACAATACCTTCTTTATCATTCATTTATTTTACATATTGATTTGCATGATAAATATCTGTTTTAAATTTATATGATATTTATATGACAAATTATGTAATCTGTAAAAATTTGAATTTTATGAAAAATCTGGTTTAATAGTAATCAATCCTTAATAAAACCAATAAATTTAATAATATCATAAAGTTAATTTACATATTCTAAAAGCTTTTTATGTTATATTTTTTTTTTTGTTTATATATAAAACTAGCTATATATAAAGATAAACATAAGCTAAAAATTGATTAATTTAAATCTGATAAATGTAATAATTTACAGATTTAATTCAAAATCCTGAAACTCAAAATTCTGATTGTTTTTTATTTTAATACTTTAAAATCAGAAATATCATAATTTCAAAATATTATAATTTCGAATCCTATAATTTTAATAAATTTATAATACTGAAATTTTATAATTCTAAAATATTATAATTTTGAAATTTCATAATTCAAAATTTAAAATAAAATTAATCCACCCTTTTACTTCAACAACATTTTTGTGACCTCTTTTAAAAGATAATATATTATTCTAATATTAACAATCAATTGATAAAAGATGATTTAACTTTGCAAAAAAAAAATGAAATTCTTATAAAATTGCTTTTTTTTATCATATCCTTTTAAATTACATTTTAACGAAATTTTTTCGTAAATTTCTTAATTATAAATAAAGAAAATTCTTAATAAATACAATTAATTAAAGTAATAAACTAAAAAATATTAATGTTTTCTTCTAATATTGTATTACAAATTTTTGGAATTTTTCATTTTAAAATTATTAAATTTGGGATTACAACATTTTGGAATTATGAATTTATTAGAATTATAGGATTAAGGATTATAGCATTTCAAGATTTTGATATTTTAGAATTATAGTATTTTGAGATTATAACATTTGGGTGCTAGGATAATAAAATGTCTGGATTTTAAGCTTTAAGATTTTGTACAAATCTCATAGCTTACGATTCTTTTATTATATACTGTAATTAAGAATAATTAATGCAGAATTTAAGGAAAGGCTCATGTTATTTTAATATCTAGAGATAATAATGGCTTATATTCAGATATTTAATTTTATTTATCTAAATGCTTATCTTTACTGATGAAAATTTTTATTAAATATCTTTATCTAAACTTCTAAAAGGTTTTCTTAAATTCAATTAAGTTTAATCAAGTTTAAGATTTAGAAAAAAAGTCATTTTAAAGGTTTCAAAAAGATTTTATATTTTTATGCTATATAATCATTTTTTTTTTGGCAATTAAAATAAGTATTTGAGTTTATCAAATCTTGTATTTATAAAAGGGATTCTGAGTTTCAAATGGGTTTGAGTATTAAAGCTAAACAACTGAATTAAATTATGTTATTCACTTTTGCGGAAACCCATTTAGATAAATTCTTGCTAGTTCCTATTATCTCTCATTTTTTTTGTTTTGGGTAAAATAGAAGGTCTGATCATTCATATTCTTCTAAAAAAAAATTTTTATTTCTTCAAAATTCGAAGGATTATTGCAAGACATTATTTTCTAGTATTCTTGTCAAAAAACTTTGGTATCAAATGGAAAAGCCTTAAAATTCGCTTAGAATTCCTTACTTTAAACTATTTATCTTAATTTATAAATATTACCCGTTCTTAAATATTTATTTTTTTAGAAAAATGTCATAATAAACATTTATAACAAAAATATTTAGGATGATTTGATTTTGTTAAACAAAAATTTATTATTATTTTCGCAAAATTATCATGAAGAATAATTATATTGAAGCTGTTCATTTGATGATTTACATCGCATCATCGTGCTTCGTTTAAATATGCTTTATATGCTTTTAACATTCTTTTTAAAATTTCTTATTTCTATTATAAAGTATGCCAAACACAAAGGCAATATCAAGGAATAAGTATTCGCTGAACAAAGGAAAATCGTGTAATACATCAGAAAATTATTTAGTAGGTTTTATTGCGAATCTCTACGCCCTGTAATTCTTCATAGGTCTATGAGTCTACATTTTTTTACGGCGTAGTGATTACGAAGATTATTTTGGGATAGTACTTCAGAGTTTTGAAAGAAATTCATTTATAGTAATTTTGAATGCCATGAAAGGTTTTGAATATCAATTATTTATTATTTACATTTTTTGCAAAATATTAATTAATTTAATTTATCCAAATTTAGAAAAATTAAGCTGTAAGTATACGAAGTACTTCGTTAATACTTTAATGCGAAGTACTCCGAAGATTTACGAAGTCGTAATATCTTCGAAGTACTGCGGTCTAAGTACTACGAACGTTTACTGAGCTGTGATATTTACAATACAATACTTGATAATTATAACGGAGCTATAACCTTCGGAGTATTTCAATGAAGATGTAAATATTAGAAGGTTTACGATGTAATACTTCGTAAATATACGGAAGAGTATTATCTGCGTAACATTTCGCCTCAGATACTTTCCTGATGTAGCTGAGAAAATTATAGTTTTAAAACTTCGTAATATTTGCGAAAAACACAAAATAAAAAATCGTTCATTAAATGATTTAGAATCATGGAAAATAAGTTTACAAATTTAGCATCATCTAAAGTTGCACGTATAAAGGTTGGTATTATTATTGAGTTCTTGCAAGTATATGGTTGGCGGAATCTTTCAGTGGAAAGCGAATTTGGAGAAGAATGGACAAATGAAGTATTTAATAATCTATTTACAAATTATACGTAGCATTCATATATTTATTAATATGTATTAATTTAATTAATGATAAATAATAAATAATAAATCTAACAATAATAGATTACAACTTAATTTTGATCGCACATCCCAACGATGCGTAGTCTTAATACTACCTTTCCATAAGAATCTAAAGAATTTATATTAAAAAATAATTGATCATTATTTGAACTATAAACCAAACAACGTTATATTGGGTATCATTTTTAAGAACTCTTTGGAATCATCAACTTTTTAGTTTTTAAAAGAGGAGCATATCATTGCGCAAATTGGAATGAAAAGTCGTATATCATTATTACAAGAATATATTAGAGAAATATTTATGCAATGACGTTGTTTGCAGATTACATCTGATATTATCTAATAACATTGAATTACAGAAAATTTAGTTATTCTTAAAGGATTCTTCAAGAAAACATTAACAATTTTATTGCAGGAATTAAAATTCCAACGAAAATGAAGGTATGAAAAAAATTCTCCTTTAATAATTCAGAATATACCATAAGATTATTAGCAAAATTTGACAGCTTACCCTATAAAAAAAAGTGATCAGTGTTTTATTTTCCATCTTTTTTCCGTGAAAGACGGAACTTATAATTTTAAATCATGGAAATTTTCATTTCAGTTAAACGGATTCCGTGAAAGTCTCATTTTCACGGAATTTTTATAGAAGCTACGGAGAAATAATGGAAATATTCAGGAAAAAATTTTTTTATAGGGTTACCAAGAGTTGAATATGAACGCTTACTTTAAAAAATAGAAAATCTCTTGATTAGAATTGAGATTTATTAATATGTGAGAAATTTCTTTGAAACCTTTTGACGAATATCAAAAGAATAGTATGCTTGAATTTGAAATGTTTGAATCTTATTTTATTAAGACAAGGCAACACATGAAAATTAGCCATGGACAAGTAATTGGGAACTGAAAGTATAATATAAACTTTATTTCCGATTATTATTTTTGTTATGATTTATTTTCTCGCGATAGTAAAAAATTTCATGTTATTTATTAAATAAACACGAATTTATGGGAGAATCATATGCTCAAATATAAATATAAGATAGAATTAAAAGAAAAATCATCAAATTATTGAGGGTACTTATTATCGGATATATGTAACCAGTATTTGCGTTATGATCATTCTTCTCATTTTTCTTTGATGCCACTTCAGGAGGTTTAAATGGCAACGGTTTATACGGATTTGGGTTTTCAGTTGTAGCATATCTACCAATTTGGAGCGAAATTAAATTAAGATTAAATTCACCATAAAAGGTAGATGGGATAAATTAGCTTCGCTTACCCGAAAGTTTCCATTATTAATTTTAATCTAGGACCTATCAGACCACCTGAATAGTTCCCACCATTTAATATCATTCGTTCGGCATTATTTCCATCAACTGATCTATAAGTCATTAAAAAATCATTCGTGTTTATATATGTTTTAAAATCAACATGAATCAAACTTGATCCTTGTTCAAATGTTGGGATGGAAGTTTCTAATATAAAAGAATCAGAGAGAAAATTTTTTGAATTCCTTGGTAATAAACCAAGAGAATTTGGCGTGGTAGCAAGAACCAATAAATCTTGAGCGAATTTAAATTGAGGAGACTTAATAAATTCATCGCTAAAAACACTGGATTTATGATCATTAAAAAATGTGTTTAATTGTCGAGTGAATGCGGATATCTGAGTACCATTCGAAAGTAATATAGTGTATTTGTCCATCATAAATTCAACAAAGGATGAATTCGTATTCAATAAATTACTTTTAGGAACGCTTCCATCAGGATTTATTAATGCTGGCGTTGGGATTAATGCTATTGATTTTGTTTGAAATCCCATCCAACTGTTATAAAATCCTAGACCGTGAATTAATTCATGACAAATCGTCCAATAAATATCTTCTTGATCGGGATTTATATTTATCGAATCTTGTTCAAACCAAAAATTCGATTTTGAATTAAATTCCGCGTTTATATCAAATTCATTATATTTTGGAGCATTAGGAAATTGGAATTGTTTTACTAATGATTGTGGATATAATCGAGTCAAACCATCATCGTCTTGTAATGCGTAAAATTGTGATGGATACGCCGCTCCTGATAAATCCCCGCACAAGTTTGCTGGATACACTGTGCAAAAATCATAATAACTGACGTTCACTTTAATCGGTGTATTGAATATAAATGTTGACGTTATATATCTCGTCACCTTCTTAAATTCTCCAAGAACCTTATCGCAAGTTACTTTATTTTCGATTTCACAATTTAATTGTACTTGAAACATGTCTTGCGACGCTTCTTGATGTAATAATGTATCTGATGACGTCTCTGTGCCATCTAAACCGGAATTCCTATTACATTCCACAATTTCTAGTGATGCAAAGATATTATTCGGGTGATGAAAACATTGAGCCGAAATTGATGAAATGAATAAAAATATAATAAATATAATAAAGGTTACTTTTATTTTTTGCATCATTTTTTTTTTATTATTATACCATTTATATATAAATTCTTTTTATGTATTATTTTTTATATTTTAATTATTACTTTTTTTTTTATGTATATATTCTTATTCTTATTCTTATTATTATTTAAAATTAAAAGAGGCAAAACAAAATGGAATCAACTTTTTTTTCGATCCCGTTCCGTTCATATATGCATAATGAAGTTCACTATGACAATATTTGTTAATTTAATTAATTCGTGCGACAAATATTTCTTGCTAAAAAATAAGATTCGTACCGGGCCGATCATTCCACAAGAAAAATTTACATTCAAGTCAATTTCATCCGTTCGCTCCAAGGTAAAAGCCGCATTAACATTTTGATCCAAATCATAGTTCCGGTATTTGGTAAATTCTGCCTAGTGTCTGATTATCAGCAGCCAATGAAATGTAAAAAGATAACCTCCTCACATTATTTGGTGATTTTGATTCTAATGTGAAGATTTCACTACATCACATGATTCAAATGATTATTTGTAAGACACAAAAAAAAAAAAAATTGCCAAAAAAAAAACACCCGAACTTCCAACCCTCCTTTTTATTACAACCAATTATTGCGTACCGGATTGATTTCCGGAATTTCGGAACCTTCCGCTACTTGAATTGAATTTTTTTTTTATTTACATTTGATTACCTTGCAATATCATGAGAGGGCTTGGCGGTAAAACGTGCATCTAATAAAATGAACACCAATACTTTTGAACTGATCGTCGGACTCGTTACACTACTAACCTAATATACAGTACCTTAAAAAGGTCCAGTTTTTAAACTAGTTATAAACTATTTCTTTTAATATAATTCGTTGTATTAAAATATTTTCTAACCAAACTATTTATGATTATGATGCAACAAACACATGATCCCCCATCAATAGATGAAGAACTTATAAAACTTGTTGATTCATTGATGACGCAAGATCCCCGCCATGATGAAATCATCCAAGAAAAGTTATCGCAATATGAATTAGAATTAATAGAAGGTATGAACTTAATCATCATAACATACAAGACATACAAGAGTAGATGATTAACTTGCTTAAATTTGTTTCCTAAAAGATGAATTACATAATGAAACTACTCCAAAATTTGATTATGGAACTTGCATGAAGTGTGAACACAAGAGAAGATATTACCGATGGTGCCAGCGATGTGAGCGTAAACAATGTTATAAAGATTTCGCAAATTGGACAAGCGGTAATGAAGAAATTGATGTGTTCCTTCGAAATTCACAATTTAGTTCGACAAATCCTCAAACATTTCTTGAATGGATTCCTTATGACAAACTTGAAAGGATAAAACATGTAAATATCACATCCTATAAAGCCTCAAGAAGCACCGTATATTCGGCTGATTGGATTGATGGACCACGAATTGTGTGGGATCAGAAAATTGAAGAATATAAAAGATCCAAAATTCGAGTATTGATCAAGTTGTACGATAAGGATCAAGTTTACGAAATTTTAAATGAGGTAACTTTTTTTTATTTTTTTTTTTTTAAAAAAAAGATTTATCATTTAATTGCGAGCGTCCAATAATTTATATTTATTTTTTTAGCTTAAAATATATTTGGATTGTTATGAACAAAACTGTTCTTTATTAATTCATTTTTACGGAATATCTAAACATCCTGAAAACAATGAGTATATTATTGTGAGGCAATATGCTCAATGTGGTTCATTACAAGATTACATTTTACAAAATTTTTATAGGTTGGACTGGGAAATCAAACTCCATTTACTTTTTTATCTTGCCGAGGATTTAAAAGCTTTGCATAACGCAGGATACGTTCACTGGAATTTACATCCGGCTAATATTTTGGTACTTGATAACAGCTTGTGTGCAATGGGATCATTTTCAAATTGTCATAAAGCATTTTCCTTGCTAAAAGATATCGAAGTGGTATTTGAATGGAGATCATATTTATCACCAGAATATATACGAAACAAATCTCACACAAAGTCAAGTAACATTTATACATTTGGGATGATAATGTATACGGTTGGAGTTGGACAAATTCCTTTTGAACCTTTCAAAAGATTTGAAGATAGTCAGTTTTTAGCCTTAGATATTTGTCAGGGATTACGTCCAGATATTTCGGATGATGTACCAAAAATTTTCAAGGAATTAATTATAAAATGCTGGGATCCAAACCCAAATTTGCGTCCTGATATCTCTAAAGTATATGATACTCTATTACAGTGGTGGTCATCAATTTATCATAATAAATGTCTAACCCCATTATGTTTGGAATTTCTTGCGGCTGATAATAGGAATTATACCAAATCCCTAGAGAGCATTCGAAAGCCAGATATCAGTAGGACAAAAGATATTGTATTTCCGGCGAACGGTCAATTAGAACCATTAGAATTAATTAATTTTGTTGTAGACAATTATTTTGAAAAATTCATTAATAAAGATGAACTGACATTAATGGAACAACTTGATGTTGGTCATTTTGGAACTGTCTCCAAAACCATTTGGAAAAAAACTAACAACGTAGTGGCATGTAAGAAGTTAAAAAACATCAAATCTATTAGTAATAAGCCGATTGAAGCTTTTCTTCATGAATTAAGCATGCACAGAAGACTTGATTTTTGTCCAAGAATTATACGTATTTTAGGCATAAGTTTTGGTAAACTTGTTAAAAAAAAAATCTCATTAGACTACGTTCGAATGATTATTAATTTATTATCTATTTATAGACGAATGTACACAAGAGTATTTACTTGTGTTGCAATATGCTGATGGTGGAAATTTACGCGATTACCTTGATAAACATTTTCCATCATTGACATGGGATGATAAGATTAGATTGGCTTATCAAATTACTGAGGGAATAAAGTTTTTACATGGAGAAAATATTCTTCATCGAGATTTACATTCTAAGAATATCGTAATTCATCAGGGCGAAGCGAAAATAATTGATCTTGGAATCGCAAAAAGTACCGAAACAGAAACAGATGTTCATTCGGAAGTTTTTGGAATGATTCCATATATTGATCCCAAACTTTTAGAAAATCTCAGTTATAAACATCACAAGTCGTCAGATATTTATAGCTTGGGAGTGTTAATGTGGGAACTATCCAGTGGTAGGCCTCCCTTTGCAAAACAAAATGAAGCTGTTTTGATTTCTCATTTAATAGATGGTGTTAGGGAACGCCCAATTCATGAAACACCTCATGAATACCAGAAATTATATGAATCATGTTGGGATCGTGAACCAAATAAAAGACCATCTATTAAACAAGTTTTCAAGGAATTGGAAATATTGCTAAATATTAATGATGATGATGATGATGATGATGATGACAAAACGCAAACCACTCGAGGTAGGTATAAAAGTTAAATTACTTTATGAAAAGTTTAAGCAATTTAAATTTTTTTCAATTTTAGATGAGTTGAAGGATGATAATAATTCTACTTCAGAAACAAATGACTTTTACGAAGGTAATTTATATTTTATTTATGTGTAATTTTAGTTATTAGTAATAATCTGTTAATCAAGATTTTCAATCCATAAAGATACATCACTTGATTTATGTATTAACTTTTTAGTTTACGATATAGATAATAAACAAATGTAATATGCGATATCGATGTTCTTTATTAGGAAAATTAAAATGAATAGTGTATTTAAATTTATAGTATATCATCTAGTCATTATTATTTAAAAATCTATTATAAAGTAATTATGTAAATTAAATTTGAAATTTATAAGTAAATGTGTAAATGTAAATTTTAAATTAATAAATACAAAAAATGAAAATATTTTAAATATTACAAAGTAAAAAATGTTAATTAGATAAAAAAAAAAATATCTATTTATTTGGAAGATGGATTTAATAAGAGGTCCAGATTTTCTTGAGCATCTTCACTCCCATTTTCTGCAGCCTTCTTATACCAATAGATTGCTTTATCCAAATTTTTTTCCACAAATTGACCATTTTCATATGCAATGCCAACACATTTTTGTGCGTCACCACATTCACTTTGTGCTGATTTCATATATAATTCAAAAGACTTGGCAATATCAACATCAACGCCAGATCCTATTTCGTAACATCTTCCTAAATAATACTGCGCAAACTTATTTCCTTTATCTGCTGCCGCTTTATACCAATAAGTTGCTTTCTCTATATCTCTTTCTACTCCGTATCCGTATAAATAACAAATACCAAGATTAAATTGACCCGTGCTATTTTCTTTTTCGGCAATGATTTTGTATAATTCAAAGGCTTTTGTTTTATCCATAGTGGTTCCAACTCCATAATCATAACACCATCCAAGTTTAAGTTGTGCTTTAAGATAATCCAAATCAGATAATTCTTTGTAAATTTCAAAAGCCTTTATTTCATTTTTCTCAACGCCAATACCTGATCTGTAACAATCTCCAAGTTTACATTGTGCATCCTTATTTCCATTTTCCGTTGCTCTTTGGTACCAATAAAATGCTTTGTCTAAATCTTTTTCAGTACCCTCGCCACTCTCGTATAAACTTGCAAGGCATAATTGAGCGTTACTATGTCCATCATTTGCGGCACTTTGGTAAGCTTGGAACGCCTTCTCCTTATCAACGTTGACGCCAATTCCTTTTTCAAAACAATCTCCAAGATTAAATTGAGCATTCATAAATCCTTGATCGGCCGATTTTTTGAATAATTCAAACGCTTTTGATTCATCTTTTTCAACGCCATTACCAAATGTATAACAATTACCAAGATTATATAAAGCATGCTTATTATTTCCGATCGAAATGGATTTTTCATACCAATAAATGGCTTTCTCTAAATTTTTCTCGATTCCCATACCATATTCATAACATATTCCAAGGTTATTTTGTGCTTGAACGTAACCTTTATCAGCCGAAACTTTATATAATTCGAAAGCTTTATTTGCGTCAACTTCAACACCAATCCCATAGTCAAAACAATAACCGAGTTGAAATGTTGCTTCAACATCTCCATCATCCGATAAATTTTTATAAATCTCGAAAGCTTTTTTTTCATCCTTCATAATTCCGTTTCTTCCTAATCTATAATTATGTCCAAGATCAAGATGATTTTTTTCTTTTATTATGGCTTTTCCCAAGTTGGTACAAGAAAGTAATTTTTGTTCTAATGTGTATGACATGATAAAAATTTTGGATTTGAAAATTATGATTAATGTGTGAATGTTATTATGAGTGTGAGGTTGAAATAAAAGGAAAAGTATAATAAAAGATAAAAAATTTGAGGGTAAAAAAAAAATAAAATAAAATAATAATTTTTTCGGACCGACATTTTATATAGAAATGCCGATCCCTCAAATACATACATGGAAGTTTGTTTATTGCAAATAAAAGGAAAAATCAATAAAATCCTCCTTTTTTCAGCTTGAAATTCATTCGTGAATGATATTTGGTTATGCCTGTTTTTTTTTATTCCCAAATTACCAATTTTTTTTATTTGTTTATATTAACATACATATGATTTAATACCATTTTGGTTGGGGGGTTTTTTTTTTGAACAATGTTCGATTATTGAACGATTAATTTGATGTGATTAAGATAAATGGGTAAAATTTTGACCCATATCACATGCCACAGTTTAGAATAATAAAAAAAAACATGAAACCTATGGGAGGAAAATCAGGTTTCATCAAAATGGACATTTTAGATTTGGCAGATAAAGAATTTTTTTAGTATTTCCGTATGATTGATTCAATGTCGATAATTACTTTCTTTTAAAAGGTTCTTAAATTTTATATTTTCCCTAGGCCCGACAAATGTATCGTGATATGCAACCAAACATTGGGTTTTGATATTAAAATCGATTTACAAAACATATTAAAAAATACGATCAGAGCGTGATTTAATAGCAAAACGTCCATGCTGTTGGTCTCTTCATATGATCACACAATCTTAAAAAAGCTTTAATTAAAATTAAAATCTTACCATGGAACTCATTTCGATGCAGGGGAGGGGGTTTGGAAACGTTTTCGGCCGATCTACATACAGAAAATTCTACCAAAACTGAAATATTAATTTAAGGAGTCATTTTTTAATATTTTCAAAAATAGGAATCGGGATCGGTCATTATTTAATTTGCGTATCTTTTCCACTATTCTTTATTAAGTGGGATAAATTGCAAGGAAAGTTATACTGTCGACTTTAGCGAATTCAGATAAAAATTCCGAAAGACATTTGAAGTTGAATGAATTAAATTTCAAATAATATCGGAACTTGTATCTGTTTTAATTTTAGATATTGAAATCGTTAGGAAGAGAACAGGAAGAACTTATTTTTTTGGAAAAAGAATAATAATAAATAAAAAAAAAAAATTACTAGTATACAGCAAGCGATATAACACTAATATAATAAATGTATTAATTAATGATATTTTTAATAATTAATTCATAAATAAATTTTATAAGGAAATTTCAATAAGCCTTGCCTTTCTAGAAAGTATTTGCAATAATACGAATTAAATTTCGAAATAATTATTAATTCAATAGAATTATTACGCCATTCATGAAAAATGGTTTCTTGTGATTTCTCCTAAATTCTATAAAAAATGTTTATAATGAAAAGAAATTAAATTATATTATGCGTATTTCCACACGCACGTAAATATTTTGGTTTTTATAAAATCAATATTAAAATGATCAACCAATCAGATTCGTTTCAATAATAACGTACGTTAATATCACCCCATCCAGGTGATAGTAAAAGAATGCACTTGTGACATGTATATCCTTTGATGGTGTTGTATACCAACATACTGTATTTAGAACTACTTTACATGGTAATTTAAAGAACAATTAAATAAATTTTAAATTTGAATCGAACTTCCTATTTCCTTACTGGTTTAATTCGATTTGGTGATGAAATAATATTTTAATTGACCAAAACATCTTTGTCCAATATACCTTCAAATTTTATTATTATTATTTTAATCAGAAAAGTTTTTTTAATCTTAGAAAAATAGAATGATTCTCTTAATAACAAAACTATTAGAACAGACGCGCCGTCTGAGGTAGTACTATAGTTTAATTTGTTCCCTATACGTTCGTTAATATTGTTATAAAATTATTGTAATTTATCACTTCGTTATGAAACCTTCTGCTTATTCATCAGTATAAAGAACTGGCGTAACAATATTAAATTAAATTATAATAAATTTAAATATTCTTTTTTGAATGATATATTAAACTGTATTTTCTGTTTAATCTGTTTAAGTTCTAAAAAGTATCACAGGTTATTTAGAAGAATATTTACAAGTAATTTACAATTTTTTTAACAATTTGTAATCAATTTATAAAATAGGTTGTAATATTATAACTCATCTAATTTTCTTAGTATTTTTTTTTTAATTCAAAATATATGTATTTTATTATGCTAAATTAACATCACAATTGATATTATTGTTTGCATTAATTATTCTACAAGGCAAATGAATTAGATCAGTTTTGCTTTTATGTTCTTTTAGAATCTTTATACCTAATCTCCAATATTATAATTATTAATTTTAAAAGATCTTCTTTTATACTATCAAGAAGTTAAATAATTTCTAAAGTATGCATTTAAAGATCTACATAATTTAATACAAAAATTAATTTATTTCTAATTATTTATATAATTGTAATCTAATTTCGTTTTTCACATTTTATTATTTGTTAATAATAAAATTTAAACAATTAGTAAATTTATAATTTTAAATATTGATAAGCTTAAATGGTACATTATTACAGCTATTTTCATAATTCCTAGACTATTAATAATTTTTCAATCATAGTCTGTCAAATTTAGTCATAATATTTTATAGTAATTTTATTATAAAATATTTTCAGTCATATTCAATTGCATTTAGATTATATTTATTAATATTTAGAAATTTAGAAAATAGCTGTAAGTTATATATTTATATTTGTTAATAGAAAGTTAAACTATAAAAGAAATAATTAAATTGAAGAGTCAGATCATCTTTATCAATATGTGTAAAAAGAATTTTTACTAATAAACAAAGATTAGTTTTATAAGATAATATAAGAATAATAGCAAAATTTATCTTTTTATAAGATAAAGATACAGGATATTTATATGAAATAAACTATTAATAATATAAAACAATAAATACATATATAATATATAATTCCTGATAAAAAGAATTATAATAAAATCTGCATCTATTTTTAGGTTAAATTTACTGTTTTTTAGATTTAAGCATTAATTATGATTTTAATCAAATATTGGAATTCTAATTTAAAAGTTAAAATAAAAAAAAAGGTTTGTTATTTCTTTTTATTTTGATCTTATTTCTTAAATATACTATACTCTTTAAAAATACAATAAAATTATATTAAATCACTTTGAAATTAAAAAATATATAATAAAAATTTTTTTACACAATTGTATTCCCTTATACACATGTGAATAATATTTTAGTTTACTAAATAAAACTAGTAATATTTCAATTAATCACTCTTGAAAAAATTTTGCAACATAATTATTTTATTATAGCAGGCAAACTTAATATCAAATTGGAAAATAATAATCTAAACTTTAATATTAATAAATATACTATAAGAATGAGTTCAAAATCTTGGTTATATGTTTATTCTTCTAAGAAAGATTCCTTTCTTAATTCAAAATGTAAAGGATTTTTAATTATTTTGATCATGTAATTATTCATATTATAACTAAAAGCAAATTGTTTTTTCTAATAATAAATATTTAGAAATATAATATGTGTATGATCTTATAGTACATAACTAATTGCTCTATGATAAAGCATTTATTCAAAGTTTATGTTTGATTATATTTATTGTTTACTAAAAATTTGTAGTCATTTGTATTGAAAAATCTTAGATGATAATCTATATAATAATACAAATATGATATGTAATTGCATTTGGATTTTCTAACAAGATAATGATCTAAAATACTGTATATCTCACAAGATATTTAGCATCATTTAAAAATATCATATATGATAATTCTTCTTATAATCTAAACTTAAACTCTATCAAAATATATTAAAGAAAATGTAAAGAAAAAGATCAATATTTAAAATATTAGATGTGATATATTTCTTAATACAATCTGATAGAAATAATATGATCTTAATGATGCTATATTACTTCTATATATTGAGAGTATGCTAAACTAGATTAAAACATATATCAATATAAAAGAAAAATATATTAAATATTAATTAAATAATAAAAAGTTGCTATTAGTAATTGTTTTATAAATAAATAAAAAAATAAAGTTTATATATATCATAATAATTCATTTTTACTATTATTTTTGTTAGAAACTATATATAATAAAAATAATTAATAAAGTAATATATCTGATATTGACTAACTAATTAATATAACAAATATAACAAATATTATAAATATAAATCTTCAATCAAATCTTCAGATTTTTTAATTAATCAAATTACTATAATATATATTACTGCAAATAAATTATCATTTCAACATTAATTTATTTAGTTAAAGATCTTTTCTTAACAATTTAAAGCTATAAATATTTTCTTTTTATATCATATAAGTATAAATATTTAAATTTTTAATATTTTTAAGTTATCTCATTATTATTTTTAAGATATAAAATTTATCTTATAGTAAAAAATTTATAATTTTTGCTTATAAAATAAATTTTAGTAATTTCTGATATTTAATATTATTTTAAACTATTTTATTTTTAATTTTATTAGATTATCACTTTTATTAATTTAAAATTTGCTTTATTAAATTATTTTTTTTATTTATTATTATAATAATAAGTATCTTCAATATTATATTAAGATCCTAAATATTTCTAAAATAAATCATACTTTTTTTTAGAATTTTTTTTAAAATTAGAATTTATTTACTTTTTTAGTTTATTACAAATTTCTCAGCATCTAATAATTTGAATTGAAAGTAGTATTTTTGTTTAATAAAACTCATTAAAAGCTCAAATTTTTTTAAAAAAAAATAGTAAAATTCAATTAAGAAAATCATAAAATACCAATTTTTAAACTTTTAAATTTAGCTAAATTTGCTTTTTTTTTTATTAGTGAAATCAAATTATGAGTTGTTTCATATATATTCTATTATATTTATTTTAATCTTAATTTTAAACTTTAAAAAATTTTAAA